GTTTGGAGTAAAAAACATAAACTCTTTTTTTTTTTTTTTTTACACGGCGGGGGGACAGTGAAAGAGAGAGAGACAGGGGGAAAGGTCTTCCTTTTGCCATTGGTTCCCCTTCCAATGGCGGCCGCCTCCGAATCGCTGCCCGCGACATCGCGCTGATCCAAAGGCAGGAGCCAGGTGTTTCTCCTGGTCTCCCATGGGGTGCAGGGCCCAAGCACTTGGGCCATCCTCCACTGCACTCCTGGGCCACAGCAGAGAGCTGGCCTGGAAGAGGGGCAACCGGGACAGAATCCAGCGCCCTGACCGGGACTAAAACCCGGTGTGCTGGCTCCGCAAGGCGGAAGATTAGCCTATTGAGCCACGGCGCCGGCCGGACACATAAACTCTTGTATTTGAATCACACAAACTCTTATATTTGATTTTCTCATCTATAAGGTGAGACTTACAATGCCTTATCTGTTTTGCATGGCTTCTGTGAGGCTCAAGTGAAGGTGTATAGTGTATACCTAACAGTATTAGAACTTTACAATCAGACTTAAGTTTGAATCCAGGCTTTGACACTTACTATTCTTGTGACCTTTATCAAATGACTTATTTGTATTTCAGGTTACTCATTTGCAGATATAGGCAGAGTGATATCTAAATCTTGGTGTTATATAGACTTGAAGCATATAGACTTGACATATGTGGGGTGCTTAGCAAATTGCCAGAGACACTGGTGTCATTCAGTAAGTGGTAGATTATGAATGTGATAAAAATGCCATGAAAAGGTGATGATTCTTCATTATTAATCTACACAAAGTGATTTGATAGGAATCAAATGGCCAACCATTCTAGGCTACTGCATCATTAACTCATTTCCACTGAATTCACTGAAGTCTTTTGTCTCAGAGTTTGAAAACATATATAGGATTGCAGCAGTGATTGAAAATGAACTCCATCCTTACACACAAAACTTCTGATTTGTTATTTTTAAAAAGTATTTTATTGTATTTGGACCATTGGGAATCAAATAAAATAGCTCTTCTAGATTGCCTGCATGTCTTTTGAACTTTGAAGAAAGTGTTTAAATCAGTTCCAAGAAAGAATATACTTTGAAATGAGACTGGGAATTTGTAGACTGGGAAGGCTCTTCTCTATGATTCTTACTTACTAAGTCACAGACTCATAATATATATTGGTTAGAAGGGCTATTAGGGACCATCTAGTAAGTGATGCCCAGAAAGAAACAGATAGCCCAAGGTTGCACAGATAGCTTGTGAAAAGCACCAGTGCCAAAAAGGAAACCTGTTAAAGTGAAATGAACACTGTGAGAAACAGTGACTTGATCAGCCCTTGCCCTGACTGTTGATGAACAACTTAATACGTTATCCCTCTTAGTATTTTTTTTTGTTTGTTCTACTTAATACTTTTGGTTGAATACTGTAATCAATACACAGTTATTCTCAAGTGTTGAAACTTAACTGAAAAGTGATCGCTGTTAAATATAAGAGTGGGAATAAGAGAGGGAAGAGATGTGCAATTCGGGACATGCTCAAGCTGACTTACCTCAAACGGTAGAGTTAGAAACATACCAGGGGATTCGAATTCAATCCCATCAAGGTGGCATGTACCAATGCCACCTCACTAGTCCCAGTGATCAATTTCTGTTCACAATTGATCATAATGATAGGAGTAAAAGCCAAAGGGAGCACATAAACAAGAATAGTGTCTGCAAATACTAACTGATAGAATAAAAAAGGGAGAGAACGATCCAATATGGGAAGTGAGATACACAGCAGACCCACAGAATGGCAGATGTCCTAAACAGCACTCTGGCCTCAGAATCAGCCCTTACAGCACACGGATCTGGCTGAAAAGCCCATGAGAGTATTTCAGGCATGGAAAGCCAAGACACTCTGGAAAAAAAAAAAAAACTGCATGAAAGATCTCCTTGAGTGAGATCCCAGTGGAAAGAACAGGTCATCAAAGAAGGAGGTACCTTTCTCTGAAGGAAAGAGAGAACTTCCACTTTGACTACGACCTTGTCTACTTATGATCAGAGTTGGTGAACTCAAAAGGCCTCCATAGCCTTGGCGACTCATGACAAGAGCCTAGGGTGATTACTGACGCCATAAACAAGAGTGTCAATTTGTTAAGTCAACAACAGGAGTCACTGTACACTTACTCCTCATGTAGGATCTCTGTCCTTAATGTGCTGTACATTGTGATTTAATGCTATAACTAGTACTCAAACAGTATTTTTCACTTTATGTTTTTGTGTGGGAGCAAACTGTTGAAATCTGTACTTAATATATGCTAAACTGACCTTCTGTATATAAAGATAATTGAAAATGAATCTTGATGTGAATGGAAGGGGGGAGGGAGAGGGAAAGGGGAGGGTTGCGGGTGGGA